TTTTTCCTTTTTTTTTTTTTTTTTTTTGGCCACGCCAGGTGGCTTACAGATCATAGTTCCCCAACCAGTGATTGAACCCGTGTGCTTGGCAGTGAAAGCAGAGTCCTAACCACTGGACCACCAGGGAATTCCCTGCTTCTGTGTTGTAGATAGGTTCATTTGTGCCATATTTTAGATTCCACATAAAAGTGATATATCGTATTTGTCTTTCTCTTTGTGAACTTCCTTCACTTAGTATGACAGTCTCTAGTTGCATACTCTTTTGTTTTCTCTCTCATTAATTTTGTGCTGTGTTATTTTCTTTGGTCTGCTCTGAAGGAGAGTAATTCAGTTGCTTTTTAACTCTAAAAGTTAAATCTGCACCCTGTCTTCTTTCCTAATACACATTTAAAGCATTCATAACTCTAAGTAATGCTTTAATGACATCCCACAATGATTAACTTTAGGCTGGACAAAAGGCTTAGATGTTTAGGACCATCAGAGAATGCATATTGAACAAGTGAAAACATTTGGTGGTGAGAGGAGAAATTTAAAACGGGGAAGAGCGTTCCCTATTGTTCTAGTGACCTGTTGGGGGTTGATGCTGACTCTCATTTCACTGCTTCTTCCATAGTTTTATAGGCCTTTTGGTTTTTCTTTTGCAACTGTGCTCTGAACTTACTTTTCCTCCAAAGTATTGTCCTTGTGAACTTCCTTGAAGATGGCAGCATGTCTGTGACCGGAATTATGGGACATGCTGTGCAGACTGTTGAAATTGTGAATGAAGGGGACCATAGCGTGAGAGAGAAGCTGATGCATTTGTTCATGTCTGGAGACTGTAAGGCGTACAGCCCTGAGGATCTGGAAAAGAGAAAGAACAGCCTGAAGAAATGGCTGGAGAAGAACCACATCCCCATCACTGAAGAGGGAGATTCACGAAGGACTCTCTGTGTGGCTGGGGTCTTGACTATAGACCCACCATATGGTCCAGAAAATTGCAACAGTTCTAATGAAATTATTTTGTCCCGTGTTCAGGATCTTATTCAAGGACACCTTGCAGCTTCCCAGTGAGAGGCCAGGAACTATGGATGCACTGATTGAAATAAGACTTCATTTTTTGAAAATTCTTTGTTGTTTTTGGTAAAATCAAAGATGGGATTATCAGTGCTAATAAGTGAACTGGGCAAGGATGACAACACAAACAAATAAAATTAACATAGGGACATCAGAATTATAAGAGCCTTTCCTTTTGATGGGGATACACCTCCATTTCTTTCTTTTTTTCGGTACGTGGGCCTCTCACTGTTGTGGCTTCTCCCATTGCGGAGCACAGGCTCCGGACGCGCAGGCTCAGTGGTCATGGCTCACAGGCCCAGCTGCTCCACGGCATGTGGGATCTTCCCGGACCGGGGCACGAACCCGTGTCCCCTGCATCGGCAGGCGGACTCTTAACCACTGCGCCACCAGGGAAGCCCACACCTCCATTTCTGTTAGGCAAGAAATGTACGTGAAAAAGATGCAACGTGTTAGATTCAATATAAAATGCTAAGGTAAAATCACAGTCTTGTTACATCCCTTGCACTAACTAGATGTGTCTGTTTTAAAACGTTTATTTAAAAAAAATTTTTGGTGTAATGATGTAATAGCTTTTGAATCAGAATATATGCTTTTTTTGGTTGAAACTTGAACGTTTTGGTAAAATCTTAACACATAAACCTTATAAACTCTCAAAGCCTTAAAAAGTGAGCACTGGCTGATATCTCTGAGGAAAAAGGTAAGTGTGACAGGTATTCTGCTGCTGAGCTCAACCCAGTTCTTTTGCCTGATGGGTTCAGCCCAGGCTTCTGGGTCATGGTGCTTTCTTCCTACAGTCTCTACTCCCCTTGTCAGGCTTCACTGAGGGGAGACAGTGCAGGAAGTACACTTCACTACATCTGATTCTACCCCTTGGAAGCCAGTCAGGGAGGTTTCTGGCCTACAAAAGCACCTCAGATTGTTACTTTGGGGGTTGTATAGTCAGGCCACTCAAGATGGCTGTTCTCTTGCTCTTGGCGTGACCAGTCCCTGCTGCGCCTACACCCTACTCACGTGAATGTGCTTGCCCCCTGCCCCAGCCAGTGATTGTTCTAGTCCTTAGACCAGAACAGCTCCACCTGCTAGTTTATTAAAGGGAAACACCTGCCCCCATGATGATAGTTAACTTGATGGGCTGTAAGGGTTGGGTCTCAGCTGCTGGTTTCCCCGGTAACTGATGAGCCACCCTGACGTCAGTTCCCCCTGTAAAAGGTAGCTTCCTGCTCGCCCCCATCCTGGTAGTGAAGGCTGCTGCGTCTCGCTTGCCGCGTGCCCCGCACGGTGGAGGTGTTTCTCTAGGACCTTGCTTCTGACGTGTAAGATGCCCTGTCCAATAAGCTGGCACTGTCACTGGGCTCTTTCTTTGGCCTCGAGGCTGGTCATCCGCAAGGCTTGCAGACCTGCGAGGTGCAGCCCAGCAATTCACAAGCCAGCCAGGAGGCCTAGGGAACTCCCGTGAGTGCCAAGATGTAGCGAAGGAAGGACGGGGACGGAAAGTTGCGGGAGGCAGTGGGGAGTCGGGGGGAGATCCCAAGGTGGCCGCCCAGTAACATGTGGAGCCCTGTGGTAGCTGACTACCATGAAAGGTGTTTTTTCCTATTCCATTGTATTGATGATATCCTGTTAAACTCAGTCTCTTTTTTGTTTTTTTTGTGTTTTTTTTTTGCGGTACGCGGGCCTCTCACTGTTGTGGCCTCTCCCGTTGCGGAGCACAGGCTCCGGACGCGCAGGCTCAGCGGCCATGGCTCACGGGCCCAGGCGCCTCGGGGCATTTGGGATCTTCCCAGACTGGGGCACGAGCCCCTCTCCCCTGTATCGGCAGGCGGACTCTCAACCACTGCGCCACCAGTCAGTCTCTGCCCACTTAGTCTCTTGAGTTTAAATGTAGCAGCCCTATGCTCTTGGCTCATCTGACTGCATGGGGATGGCTGGTGAATACAGACAAAACGTCAGGACCTGAATTATCCACAAAGGGCAAGTATGCCCCCAACCTATCACCCTTAAACAACTACAGACAGGCTTTAGGGGTGTTAACTTAGGGACAGGTTTGTGAATTGGACATGGCCAGTTACCTGGAAGGGTTTGGTTCAGGCTTATGGCAATGGCAAAATAAAAAGAGTACCCTTGGGCTTCTCTTCCCAGCTATGGAAGGGGGCAAAGCAGTGATGCAGTGTGATGGAACAGTAGCTATACGCAGTCTACAAAGAGTTATAACAGGTGGGAGACATTATAAAAGGCCTACTCGAGTCCTGGAGCAATGCAAAAACCACTGTTCAGGGTCTAGAACAGCTGTGTGTGACATATAGGACCCCTGTGGACATGGATAGCAACCAAGGAATCCACTTTACTGGCCACGAAATTCAGAAATGGGCCAATGACAATGACACACTGTCATTTCTACCTACCCTGCGCCCCCACTGCTAGCAGGCTAGTTGAAAGGATGAGTGGACTACAGCTGAGACGGAAAATCCGCTCTATATGTGTGGACCAGGAGGCTAACTCAGGCCCTACGAACTATAACTGAAGATCCCAGGAGCAGTCGTCTCAGTGCTTACTCCATGTTAACCCAGAATCAACTAGTCAGCACCATCGGAGTTCACCTGTTAACCACCGCAGGGACCATTGCCAACTACTGGTCAGGGTGATAATTCACGTTTGCCCCCACCACAGGATCTACCTCCAGGGGAACACATTATAAAATAAATGGCCCTGGGACTGGCAGGTAAGTCCCCCATGGTTTGGGTTTGCTGCCCTGTGGGGAACAGGATTAGAAAGGGACTTACAGATTTCACCTGTCTTCTACCTGCCCCACCTACCACTACTAAGGTAATTAATCCAGGCCCCTACTGGAGGAAGGCCCCATTATATTAACCTTGAGGTCTGTTGTTCTACCACCTTGCCTGTATTTGGCACTGGCTATGGATACTGAGGGTGGACAGGTGGAATGGTACTGCAGGCCAGGACAAAAATCACAGGCAGGGGTGGTATTACCCGAGAATGCTGTTACTGCTTGTATTTTGGTTAATGGTCATGATCTCTTCTGCCTGTTAAACATTTATTACATTTTGTCCCTAGTCCGAGCAGAGGTAATCTGTTCGCGGACTGGGTGACAACAGTGGCCTCACTGTGAAATGAGTTTGATTGCTGGATCTATAGCAAAATGTCCTCCTCGGGATTTCCATGAAAAATTGACCGGATAAAGTGCCTGGCCTCAAAGTTTGCCCACGTCTTGCACTCTTGATACTCTTCGGCTGCTATTGTGTGCTCTGCATGTGTGGTATTTGGGTTGCAGTGCCCCTCTAGATACCTGACCCCAGGAATATCGCATAAGAGGGGCTGACCCAGATGGTAAGGGTCGTGCAGGGTGTGTAGGGGTGGAGTGTGTGGTCAGATGGCTCAAGGTGGCTCTTCTCTTGCTCTCTGTACATGCCCTGTGTGACCAGTCCCTGCTGCGCCTACACCCTGCTCACCTGGACGTGCTCGCCCCCTGCCCCCGCCAGTGATTGTTCTAAGCCTTAGGCCAGAATGGCTCCACCTGCTAGTTTATTAAAGGGAACATCTGCCCTCCTGTTGGTCATTAACCTGAGGGGTTGTAAGGGATGGGTCTCAGCTGCTGGTTTCCCTGGTAACTGATGAGCCACCCTGACGTCAATTCCCCCTATAAATGGTAGCCTCCTCCCCTGGGTAGCAAAGACTGCCACCATGTCCTGCTCGCCGTCTGCCATGCACAGTGAGGGTGTCGCTCCAGGACTTTGCTTCAGACGTGTAAGATCCCCATCTATTAAACCATTGATGTCTCTGTCGCTGTTTCCGGGCTCTCTCTTTGGACTCAAAGCTGGGCAACTACAAGGCTTGCATGCCTGTGGGGTCTTTTCAGGGGAATGTCTACATTGACCCCAGGGTTCATCAGATTAGAACCCCAAGCAGCTTACTCCCTAGGACAGGGGTAGCAAACTTCAGGCCATGGGGACAAATCCAGGCTACTGCCTCCATTTATTAAAATTTTCTTGGAACACAGTCATACCCACTGGTTTGTGTATTGTCTGTGGCTGCTTTTGAGCCATAGTGGCAGAGTTGAATATTGACAGAAGCAATATGGCTTACAGAAAGATATGGCTCTTTACAGAAAGGTTTTCCCTAGGAGATCCTTGAACTAGCCTGGTCTGCCAGGGGTCAAGGTGGACTTATGTCCCCTGTCATCCATACAAAAAGAATCTTGCGGTATTTTTGGAAGAAATACTTTAAAATATTCAGGTTTTAGGGGGCTTTGAAAGCAGTTTAATAACATAGCTGTTACTTTCCTGCATAGTTGTCTAACAACAGGATGTAGCCCAGTGATTCTTGCACTTTTGCAAGCATCAGAATCAGCTGGGCTTGTTTAACACATATTGGGAGTAGGGCTCAGCAATTGATTCTGATTCAGTAAGGGGCCAGGAATTTGCATTTATAACAAACTCCCAGATAATGGTAGTGCTACCAGTTCCAGATCACACTTGCAAAAGCAGTTTAGAAGCTTTAGGGAACAGAAAGGCCTTCCCTCACTACTTTGTAAAGTTCCATAATCTTTTTTTTTTTTTTTTTTTTTGCGGTACGCGGGCCTCTCACTGTTGTGGCCTCTCCCGTTGCAGAGCACAGGCTCCGGACGCGTAGGCTCAGCAGCCATGGCTCACGGGCCCAGCCGCTCCACGGCATGTGGGATCTTCCCGGACCGGGGCTCGAACCTGTGTCCCCTGCATCGGCAGGCGGACTCTCAACCACTGCGCCACCAGGGAAGCCCGAGTTCCATAATCTTAAAAGTGAAATTTAGCTCACAGCCTTTCCCCTCAAACCCTGGAATGTCCTTGGACAGCGGATAGGGGACGGGGAATAAAAACAAATTTAAATGGCAAGGATTCCGACAGAATGAGGGAGGCCTTGAAAGAAGACCTGTAGGAAATTATCCAGTGTTTGGTCAGGAGTGAACCAGGTGCACTGGTGTTGGTGGATTTATTTGCTGTCAGACTAGTGAGCTGGGGACAGAGACTTTCTTGGCAACTGAGTCAT